AAAAAAAAAAAAAAAAAAAAAAAAAAAAAAAAAAAAAAAACACATCATAGTAAAACCAATACCTTCTCAGCTTCGCATTGAAGCTAAAATTATATCAGAATTATCCAAATTTCACTGTAAAATATACTGCCACAGAGAATAATAATTATAAGACTTTGAAACATTAGAATTGGAAATACATTATACAAATATTATAATCTTTATGTAATTAATTTTTTTTAATTAGTCCATAGCTGTCAATAGATAAATGTTTAAATAAACATTCAAAGTAAATCAATATTAATGTATGAGAATTACAATTTTATTAAATTAGATACGCCGATTACACACGTTGCATTATTCATTAGTTAAATTATATCAGACAATTTTTCAGGATTTATGTTTTATGACATAATAGTTGCAGTTTTATAGTTTATTTTAAAAATATAAAAAAAAAAAAATTACCCAACTTAATTGTAGACTGATATTTTAATATTAAAAATTAATATTTACTTATATTAGAAATAATTATATATTATCCTTGTCATTAAAAAATTGAAAAAATAATGTCAATTGTATATTTAATTATGATTTATAAACTTGCCTTTTTTATAATAATCATCAATTTTTATATAAAAATTAATAAATAATAAATATATATTTAAGGTAATAGGATGAACCCATTTTAACCCATTAAAAACAATACAGTAACTAAAGCTATTTCAATATGATTTAATCATTAATAAATTAGGTATTCATAATTATTATTGAAGTTGCTGCAGTATCAACAATGCAAAAATTATCAAAAATTTTTCTTTTGAGTTTTTGTAGAGCATAATTTTCTTTATCGTTAATATTAGTATTGGATGTAATTTGCAATTGATTACATTTTTTATACTTTAGAGTAATTTATACAATTTCTCTTACCTGGTCAACGTTTTTTGTGGTAGCTCCAAATACTCCGGTAACAGCAAGAGCTGAAAACAGAACATATTTCATTATAAACTAGTTATAGCTGTCAATTCAACTCAGGTAAATCAAATAGAAGTGATTTTTTTAAAGTGTATACAAATATTTTGTGGGTCAATCAATTCAGTAGAGTAAAGAAAATGTAACAATATTTAGTACAAGACTATATGGAATCTAAGTAAAATTCGTTTAAGAATTTTTCGATTTAATTTAAAATATAATGTTAACCATCATTGCGAATTTTTAATCTATAGTGGCGCCCACCTACCATCATTTTATTATGCTATTATGAAAACATAGTCAAATAAATGTTTTATTGCAATACATTCATTTTTATTTTTAAGCTATAGGTAATATGAATTATTCATAAATTACTATTGCTTCAGAGTTGTCCAAAATAAACATTTTGAAAACTTCATAGATTTAATATTATGTACTTTGAATTCGTTCTATCCTAATTATATCCATTAAAATTACATTATTAAAATTGTTATTATTCTTAATAAAATGATTGATCTTCGTTTTAATAGATATAAAAAGTGATGAACTAAATTTCAGTCAATATAATTTTATTATTTTGCAATCAAATTTGGAAAGTCGAGGTTAAAATTCAAAGATGAACATTATTCCATATGTTTTACTATCTTTATAATCTTTGTATTAAACTGTTAAGTGAATAGCAAAAATTAAAACCTAAAAAATAATTTTTTTTAATTATACTAATGTCACAGTTAGCGAACCATAACTATCTCATAAATTAATTCATTAATACGAAATACTATTGTTATCTTAAATGTTTAAATTAACATATTCTTAATCTTTGAGTGGAAATATGCTTATAGAGTATTTTTGTACATGTATTTATCATTAGATATATTATTTAATAATCATTTTGAAGACTCCGTCAAATTATATAATTATTGAAGGTTAAATTGTTACAACATTATACATAATTTCCAGTACATTTTATAAGATAATATTGTTTTAGTTATCAAATATTTATTTTTATATTTAGGTATCCTTATAAGTAAATTTTATGAATGCTTTGAAAAATATATTTTTTTATCTTATTAAATTCTTAGTATTAACGACTAACTATAAAATATTTAACAACTCTAATATTTAAAATTCAATACTAGTATGTAAGTATTGTTTTTAATTTTAGCTTCGATGCGAAGCTGAGAAGGTATTAACTTTATTATGATGTGTTTTATTTATTAATTTTTTTGTGTCTGTTACCACTTTTTCTCAACTCTCACCGAACCGATTTCTTTCAACGATACGTCAAAAGATCACAAAATTTATCTAGTCGAAGATATAACACTCAAAAATTGAAAAATTTTCTTTGTTCCCCGTAAATGAGGGAAATCTTCAAAAAAATTACAAATTTAAAAGTCGCTAATTTTCGACATTTTTTCAATTTTTTTTACTTAAAATTGCCATAATTTTTTTTAAAAAAGACAAAATCGATATAATTTTTATTTTATATAGATACATGAAGTATATACCTATCATTTGATATATTTTTTTTTATAAATTTGACCCTTTACCTGCCCACAAGGGAGGATTCAAAATGATAACCTTGTTTACAAAAAAATAACTTTAGAAAGTGTTCCGGAAACTGTGACATATATATCTTAAATTAAAGCTAATGTAATGTACACTATACTTTGGAAAAAAAAATTACGGATTTAATTTGTCTTCACGGTGAAAATGGCTACCGAATGCTATTTTCGTGTGAAAATTCTCGATTTTATATTTTTTACTTTAAAATGCTATAATTTTTTGAATAATATATGGATCAATTCAATTTTTTATGATAAATACTATTTATAAACCTCTTTCTTTCGACACACTTTTTTTTTAAATAAAACCATATCCCTTTATATATTTATATAATATATAAATATTACACTTATGAATTATAAAATTTGTAGTTAGGATATAAATAAGGAATTATGAGATCATGTAGCTTTTGGAGTTATCCACTAATTTTTTAAAATTAAACACTATTAACAGATTTGCATCGAAGCGTTTTTTATAATAGTGATTTTATTCATTGTCAGATATCATTATACTAGACCCAACTATGCCACGTCATCACTGTGCTGCGACCACTCTGTACTGGGTTTTTTTATTTTAATTATGTAAAACTTTAAATGACCCAAATATCTAATAATAATTCATCTATAGCTGTTATAGTCCATATTTTATAATTTTTTTTTACTTGTACTTTTCAAGTACTATTAATGTATAAAATTGTTTTAATTTGTGTTTTTATTTATTTTAAACTTAAATTAACAGTCTAATATTTTAGACTATTTTACAAAATAATTCGTATTTACAAAATGTACTTAATTAAGTGTATACAATATTATATTTAGTAAAGTAAAAATCTATTATGCTTATTGAACACAAACTCATTTCGTATTATATACTGTTGTGATCTTACTTTTGTAACAATTCAGTATCATTTTTAATTTATAGCAACTATTTGAATAACCTATTTAGAAATTATTAGTTATTATAAAATGAATGACTCATTCTTTTTTAAATAAATATTAATAGTGAAAAACTATAAGTGTTTGGAAACACTTCCTTTGAGCGTACAAAAAATGGCAATATCATCATTTTTCTTAGTTTGTTGTGTACAACAATATAACTATGATGTATTTTAATCAAAGTTATCCATCAATAGTGAAAATTTTATTTGTGATAAAGGTACAATGATATGCTCTTAATTTCGTTTATATTTCCTTTTGTCAGTTGGTTTGAGCATATTTAAATAGTGTAGCTGTGTTAAATAATTCCCCAAAAGAAGTTAAATATTTATAATTCTAGCTACCAATAGATGTTTTAATGAATACATTGTAAATTCTCGTGTTTTTCTGTTATCTATCTATAATTTTATCATTTACAAATTATTTTAAGTTTTATAAGAATAATCGAAGTTTGTTATTTCAATATTTAGTGAAGAAATAAAATACATTATGTACCCTACATGTCTATTAAAAACATGCTAGTGAATATTGTGTATGTTAATTGGCCTAGGCGGAACTACGGCCTGGTCCGTCTGGGTCATGGCCTAGGCTAATAAGGCCTTTAGTTTGAAATTATTATTGTAATCTTTATTGTTAAAAAATGTTAAATTATTAAGATAGTTTTAATATTAATTTTACTAATAAAAGAATCAATAGGTTATGTAATAAAATTTCCTTCGCAGTCTTACAATATATCAATAAATACTTCATCACAATTACCCACATGGCATTTTTAAATGTATTAGGGGATAGAGGTCAAAATCATTCATGATAAGTATACTTATATTGTAAAGATATGGTAATACTTTAACTATAAGGGATAGTAAAAATCATTCTTACATGTATTTCCCATCCGCTATAATAGTAAGAAAAAAACTTGGAGACCGTTGATAATTTCCCTGTTCCCTTAAAATATATTTTTAAATTAATTTTTAGGATTTTTGGAGATGCTCACCCCTAATTTCGCCAATGCTTTTTACTCATGAAAACTACTAAGCACACAGTATATATCAAATTTACCTCGATGGGCATGCTCATTCAATAAAATATCTAGTTTCGTCTATGTTAATTGGGAAACTTGCATTAAGATAATTGAAAGAAAATTTCCTTACAATTATCTTTGGGCGTATATGTAGAACTATCAATAACTGTAATTCGACCATAGATTTACTGTCTAAAAAGTAATTATAATTTTGTATTATTACCGTGATAGTGGTTACAAGCGTTGGAAATAATTTTGTCATAATAATTACTTTGTGCAAACTAATCAATGGTTTCACGTTGTACTCGTTATCGTTGCAATATTTTTTATACATTATTATTACACATTTTTTGTAAATAATAAATTGTTACGTTTTGAAACTCGTTCCGGCTTGTTTTGACGATAATTTATTCAAAAAAAGAATAATATATAGTAATAAGTTACAACGAGCTACCAGTGCTATAATAGTTTTACATATTTGTCTAACTACTAAGTTAAAAGTAGTCAGTATTTTGCACAATAGGAAGCGCTTGCGACAACAATAAATTTGTAATACATGCTTCTAATGAGGACATCTTCTAAACGTGTCTATTGAGGAAGGAAATCTGACCGAAACTATACGCGAACGCCTCTGGTACGTTACATTGGTTAGTATGATATATTATAAATATTATTGACTATTATGCAATTTAGATTTTTGTTAAAAACGACGAATAATTCCGGTTCGTATGACTTATAATCGCTGGTACATCAATGCGCAATAAAGAAGTCAACAACGCTGATCAATAATTAATAACCCTAAGTACACTGCTTTCACTTGTAATATATAATAATAAAATATATACAAGTTTTATCTCCCACGTAGGACAAGTGATCTGTCAACCATCGAGATAAATCCCAAACGAGACATTATAACATTACGCATATTCATAGCTGACGCCTTAGGTTGGATCAGATCAATTGTCCAAAATTTGTAAAGACAGTGTATCAGTCATCGGCGTAGGGCGAGTTATTTATCATTTGAACCATGTACAAATAACAATCAATGAAATATTAAGCATAAATAGACACAGGATATATTATCAAATGCCAAAATAAATATGGAATTTTTAAAGTTCCTTAACTAAATATGTCAAGTAATTTCAACAGATTGACAGCGTTTGGTAGGCGTTTGAGTTTTTGAAGAGCCAATAGAATGGACGATGAAGTCATATATGAAAATAAAAAATCCTCTAGATGTTACATAAATTTCTATTTACCAAGTCAAAAATAATAATTATATTTCTCTGCTCGCAAAATAATATAAAATGAAGTGTGTTAACATAAAATTAGTAAGCAGTAAAATTATGTTTAATGTAAATAAAATTCGTGATTTTTTTGTGTTTTAAGTGCCATTGGAAACAAAAAATTCTAGATAATAGAAAATTCTTATAAGTGAATAAAACATATATGACCTTATAATTGATTAAGAAGTATTCTAGAAAGTCAGATTGATTTTAAAGTTATTTTAATGATATAGATATTTTACATTGTCGACTAATGTTTAAAATGCATAAGAAACTGTATAACATTCTTGTAATTAATGATTAGTATTGTGATTGGAGTTTTTATTATATTATTAGATTAACGCTTTTTTTTTTTTTACTCATGACCAACACATGAAGATTAATGACCATGACATTGAATTGTTGGATACATACCTATTTCTAGCAACTTCATATGTTTGAATGCTCCAGAACGACAAACAGTAAAGAATATCCAGTTAAATTACATATTTTATGCGCGCTATAAAGCTGCAATCTACTAGCATGACAAGAAAAATCAATACGAATATAATAAATCTAAAATAACATCGGTTGAATGGTTGCAACTAACAAATACAAATGTAAAGTAATGTATTTTGACAATACTTATTAATTATCGTATCCAAATGAACGACTCCTGACTGATTTGTGATTATAAATAATTGTAAAGAGTAAAGAGCCAGTTTAAAGAGTAATTAAGTGTAAAATAAACTATACAACCTGTTTTTTAAGTTATTTAATAGGTACATTGTCGTATTTATGGTTATAGTCATTAATTAAACAGGCTTTTAAATGATTTATTTTGTTACCATTATGTATTATAATATGAACAGTATTTTAAAAATATTATGAAGACGACAATATTAAATAAGCTATTTAAATAGAAAATTATTATATTTCTATTACTTAGTCTTAAAAATAATTAATTTTGATGTACATTCAAATAATGTCCAAAATAATGAACAATTAGAACAGTACATTTAAAAAAAAAAGTTATAAACCTAACCACAACTCTTTAATAGTATAATTTACAGTGCAACTAGGTGAATCTCAACAATGATAACAATAACAACAGCATGTATAATACTAGAAATACAACGTATCGCCATTGGTTTAGACACGAGTGTATCAAGTAAACGAACTCATGTTCGACGCGACCTTGTCGGGGAAATGGAGACGTTTAGAAGACATGGCAACAGATAGAAGAGGCCGTCGACTTTACACGAATAAATATAATTTTTGCAATCGTTTAGTTTTATTCACTGATAATGATCATCTAGATTTTTCTAAAAATAATTGTACGAATAAATCAGGTGAGGTTCACGTTGAAGATCAACTATGGCGAACAAGTTTCATCTGTTACTCAGAGATGATGCGGTTGAATGGATTTTTGTATTATGTGAATTTAAATGATGTCAAGGTAACTTTTATGAAATTATCGATAGTTACTTTATTTTTGGTATTCCGTATTTTAATTTAAGGAAAAATTGGACTGTAAATATTATTTAAATAATGTTCGCATAAATTTAACTGCATAATAATTTTTATATTAAAAATTTTCCTAAGGCTACCTTAACACAAGTAAAATAGTTATGATGTACACTTTTTCATCGAATTAAAGTTGAATTAATGTTGTGAAAGTCATAGCCCGCTTCTTTTTATCATTAAAGTAAGAATGTAAAGATGACTCAAACGTTAATGATTGAGTGACTTCAAAGTCAATAATTCAAATTTTAAACATTAGCAAAATACTTTTCCTGAGCAAAATTGTTCGTTTTTAAAAATGATAACGGTATGTTGTCTTCGGCTATTGTATTTTTTTATAAACTATAAACCTATTTGGTAATTTAATTGAATAGTCTTTAGAAGTCATAACATCGGATCAACTCAGCTTTCTAGTTTTTGTCACTATTGCTAGTAATATTAACTACCTACTCACGCTTTCAGCCAAATCGTTTTTATATAAATTAGATTCATCTCTAGAAATCTACAATAGAGTCGGTACACTGATTCAAAACTTTCAAACGTACTACTGTTGTTGAATTTGTTGTTAGTAATGTCTCAATAATATACTAACAATAATTTAAACTATTGATATATCAAAATCATTCGATGTTGTTCATTTATAACGGTCATTGTCAAGTAATTAGATTGATCACAGTTTGACAATCGATGGAATCAAAAGCATCTTAATTGATACCTAACCGATATAATTACTATTGCTTTGTATTATTTAGAAATTCAGAGAAAGATGTTTTTACAAAGAAGATATTCGTTTTCTTTTCAAGGCATAGACTAGAGCAAAGCCGCTAGAAATTGTTTGGTAGCTGATTTTGTTTTGTTTTGGTTCATGCAAATTACAAAACCAAAGGTTGATGAATAAGTACTAACGAGTTCATATCTTGTTCATGTGTTAATCTACATAGTTCTAAAATGTTGACTTCATTCATTGTGTTTAACAATAATTGTTGATGTTTCCATCACATCGTTATTTTTGGTCTATGCTTGTAACGCTTCTTCCGTGTCGAATAAAACCAACAAATAGTATTTTCCAGTTATATTCGGCTAACTAAATTACTAGAATTTTATTTTTATACAGCTGGAAATTTACTTTTATCGATGTATTCTGAGTAATATTACATCAAGTTTGCATTAAAAATGTACACGAAATAAAGGTATAATTTGATACTCCGTGATTAGACCAAATGAATTTATTTTGTTTATTTATTGTATGCTTTCTCTTATACATAGGAATAATTATTAAAATATGTCTTATTATTTGATCAAAAAGCACCACACCTACACCACCTTCAGTGAATCATCGATCATCACCGTGGACATATTTTATGATCTCAACTGCTCGATTAATTTGAAAAATAGCAATAAAGTTCATTTTATTCGATGTTATTCCATTTCGCCTTAGGTTTTATTTAAAAATGAATAATTTTGACCAATGATAAAAAATTTACTATGTAATCGAGGTGACAAATTTCAGTTTATTTTATACTCATATGATAATGACTGAGTAAATGTTAAAAAAAATTGTAAATAGTAACTCATATTATGTGATTAATCAGTTTCAAAACATTCTTGATGGTCTAACGTAAGTGTATAATCTTCTTTTGGTGTAATAATTTGTTTTTTTTACAATTGTGTTATTGCATAATTCCAAGTAATTTATAAAACTAAACGTTTTTGAGAATTACATAGTGATGTCATGTCGATGTTCAGCAGAAAAGTGTGAACCAATAATATATTATTTAAACGTCTTTAATGTATTAAACATTTTTCTATCGAATTAAAAAAATTTTTTTGTAGCAATTACTTTCTAAAAAATATAAATTATTTTGTTTGGTGTCATAGAAGATTTAATTGTTGTAATTTCTAGACAAAATTGTCAAAATACTCAAGAGTACTTTTAAATTTCAATATATTATGATATAACTGGACTGAACTTCTATTCCCTTAATTTATTTTGTTATGATTAATATTAGCTTGCGGTATTAATTTTTTTTAACGTTTAGATTAATCCAACTTAAAATAAGTTAAAAAAATTATGGAATTTATATGTATAATATATATATTGCTATTCACTAAATACGACTATTTGCAATCTAATTGTCATAAGCGACCTTTTACAAAAAATTTCTAATTCAGTTGACTTTAAGTATTCATAAATTACTTTGATGGTTTTAGGATGAGATATTTGATGATAAATATGTTGCTTAAGACTACAATCAGTCGATATGTCTCACGCAATATCTTCAAAATTATAAGACAAAATATAATTTTTTCTTTTTAGAAGTTATAACAATCCTACAATTTATTATTTTTAAAAAGAAAAAAATAATCCTATTCCTTCTTCCATTTTGTTAAAATAGTATTAGTTTAATTTTTTTTTAACGGAAACACATTGTTTATTCAGTTTGTATATTAGAAAATAATCTAACTCAGAAAATGACGGGGCGATAACACATTTTAGACCAGTACTTTCAAGATATTAGCAATTTATACCTAGGCGAGAGGATTAATACACAGTTAAAAAATACTTAGAGACCAAATAAACAAATCTATGATTCATCTGAAGTCTTTATATTAAAGTGTAATAAATTTCAAAATACTATTTAAAAGTTGTTAACAAATATTCATTTTCTTAGTAAGCCTATTTTAGTAGGAGTCAGTTGGTTAAATATTTTTTTTTCTATTTAAAACATCAAATTTTTTTGTACTCAATTAGTTACATAAACTATAATTACTGTGAGAATTATTCTAGTGTTCTCTAGAAACTATACAACATAATCTTATTTTGAAGTACTTACTTAGTAATAAGTATGCTGTTCGGTTCGTTATAATCCAATTGCGCTTCATCTTGTCATTTGAGTGAAAATATACTGTGAACAAATATAAAGGAATAATCGATAAACATATCTTTCCACTTTTCTAATAATTAGATAGGCGATTAATTTTTATTTATGTAAACAAATCATTTGAAGTATAAAAATACCACAACACGATGAATTCAGTAACGGCACTTGAAGACTGTTGTGGTTTATTCTTTGACAATGCTACGACAGTAGAAGTTGTGAGGAGATTGGAAACGGACATGACTGCAGGTGTTTGGGGGAAACACCTCTATAGAAATTGGAGCGAAATATTATGTTTTCCGTTTTCTCACGGACAATGCCACACGCAAAGATTCATAGTTGCGCAATCACAAAGAAAATCAAAAATATTTAATTTACTTCAAACTAATATGAAGTTGATATTGAAACAATTATTTAAGATTTTATAAGATCATTTATTAATTTATAACATTCTCTCTTTATCTACCTGGGAAATATATTCATAGTTAATTTGTAAAAATGTAAAGAAAATATTTTTGTTAAATCAATACAATAAAATACTAGTTCAACTAATATATCGATGCTCTGTATACTGACTTATAAGTTGTTTTTCTTGTATTATACATTTGGTTATAAATTTATGTAATCTAACGTATCATAAAATTATTTAAAAGAGGAATTATTTTTTTATTTTATACGAAATGCATATAAATTAGATTTTTTCCTCACCGTCTAAAGTTAAATTGTATACATACCAATAATTGTCATACAAAACTAATAATATTTTGCAGGTTCTTACTATTGGACGTAAGAAACATGAAATTATTATATAAATGTTACAACTTTTTCAATCAATAAATGATATTATCTGATCGACTTCGCCCAATATTTATAAAAATATAAAAGTAGTAGCGTGAAAATAAATCTACTGCCCAATAACCATTAATAATAAGTGTTAATGGATTTTCATATTAAAAAGAAATTAAAAAATTAAAAATAATACAATAAATATGTTTAAAAAGCAAAACTCACAATAATTGCACTATACAAATTTTTGTTTGTTTAATGTCACATATATGACTGATGATTTCGGTTCATCTACTAAACAATAGCGAGACGACTGGGCAATAATTAGTTAGAATTTTATTCATAGTAGATGAATACCAGAGAACGTATTATTTTTCGACGGTGTGACGATTGAAAAATAAGAAAATATATTATGTTCCGGGTCTGCTGATTTTGTACAATCGTGTTTTCTTAAATCACACACATGTGGAGTACGGAAATTCATATATGAAATTGAAAAAGATATTTTGTTGACACAAATATACATATAGTAGAGGAGTATATAAAAATATATAATTTAACAAATTGATTTTATTCTTTATAAAATTATGTACATTGATTAGATTATTATAGAATGTTGAAAGTTATATTCAACTGAAATTCTTTGAAAATACATTTTAATCAGTTTTACTTTAAATATTTTTTGAAGAATTGTGAAGAAGTTTTAGATTCATAGTTTTATTTGAAGATTTATAAGATCTTCATAGTTGATGTATGAGTAATAAAAATGGTTATGGTTTAGTAAGTATCATTGAATATTTTCTATTGTTAATATACTATTAGAAAATACAATACGGATTAAATAATAGGAAACTATTGTAAACAACGATTCACTTTTCGATCTTGATATGGATAAATGATATGACCTAGATCACTAATAGATTATATTTAGATTTAAAGATGTCAGTCGTCATGCTATTGCTAAACGTTTAAATATTTACATACATTCAAAGTATTTTAATGATGCTACAGTAAAATATAACTTGAAGGATAACATTTAATGAACATAAACAGGAGGGGTAGTGGCAATGTTGGTAAAGGGGGTGAAAACTGTTTAAAACAAATTTTAAAACCCGATTGCCCTCGACTATTGGAGAGTTTAATCTAAAAACCGGCCGTTGACTGATAACAGATATATATATATATAATAAGTTACATTGATACGATACCAAAAATTATTATTTATTTTCATATTTAACCTATTGATTATAAAAATTATTTGATAAAATATTAATATGTACCATATGGTTATATTTTTAATTTTAAAATGTTACTTATATGTATTTTATATTTATCATTATTTCATTTATAAATAATAAATTTATCACTAAAATTGTTTTTATTAATAAAATTACAATTGTGCTTGCCTCTATAACATATACTAATCATTTCTTACCCTCTTAGGGAAAAATATGGCACTGTACCCGTATATAACAAATTTAAATCTATATATTAAAAAAAAAAGTGTTTGAAATTAACTTAATCACAATATTATTTAAAATATGTGGAAACCATTTTCAGTTCTCATTATTTGAACGCTACTCTTCTTTATAAAAGTAATTTTAAATTAAAACACGTTAACAAAAATGTAAGAAATTTTTTTTTAAATAATTTTTTTTTCTTATTTTATTCCATCAGGAGTGAGGATGTTTTTAAATTCAGTTAGTCAATAATATTAACCGCAGATTTATTTTCCTGTTACTAAGTGATAATAACATTGTTTATTAAAAGAAACAATATATATTTACATTTAAATTTTAAAACTTTTTATTTGTTTATTTATAAATTTATTGTTGATAAAAAATTTATTTGATATTTGAATGAGCTTTTAATTAATCATTTTTTTATTGAAATAATAAATTTTATTGTTAAAACTTTTATATTTGTATATTTATAATTTTTATCATTTTTAGTAATATGTTATTCCACTTTCTTTTTTAATGATATTTGTACAGACTAATCATCAATTACAATCAATCATAATCAATTTGTTAAAATTATATAACAATATTATGCAGAATATTTACACGTAGGTTAATATGGTCGTGACAAAGCAAACCGAAACTAGTAGGTGTCTATATGTCTGCGGTTTAGCTATTAAAACAATAAAGCTGTTAAAGAGTTTTAAACCGAAAGGTTTTGATTTTTAATTTTCATAACTTAATGATTCATAAATATTTTAATGAAATAAAATATTCACACAGACCATGAGTTAAAAAAGTACGTATTAAAATTTATTATCATTATAAAATTGGCATAAGGAATTAGTTTTAACTTTGCCTTTAAGTATAAAATTTATTCTATTCATTTGTACGAATAATTTATTGTAATTTTCAAACAAATATTGACCATACATTTTACAAGACTAACTAGCAAAAATTATAGGTACAAGGTTGACCATTTGAAAAATAGTGATTTTTTTCCCGTAATATACTCAATTAGAATTGATTATAAAATAGCAATTTTCGAAGATGCATCGTATAATTATACTATTACATTGGAAAATATAATAATTATTTAATATTCAACACTAAATCAGTCGCTAAGAGATGTATACTGGTTTAGAGGAATATGGGCCGTACATTTATTGAACATGCGTTTTGGCTCCGTCATTCGGTAACAACCAGATTTAGTATCATCTTCGGTTGTAATTGCGTAACCGAAATAGCAAAGTGACGTTATGCATAAAGGTTGGAAAAAAATATCGGGGAAAGTTGTTAAACGAACACAAGGAAGAACACGATAGAGTTAATTTTAACGTGCGAGTTTATTTGTATGCCTACAATATGTAAACTGTGTAATCGACCTTCACCTTTACGACCAAAGCGGCGGACCGATGTCACTGATCCCGTCAGACGGGCGTATCGACTGTGATGTTACGCAGAGTTTACCAATTATATCATACACCTGGTCAATTACAGTCTATAAACTGCTTTGGGTAAAAATAAGGGAAAACAGCAATAGTGCTAATTTTTAAAACAAACAACACATTCTACGCTATGCCAACATCGACAATGTGACCATCGCCAGTACAAAACTTGTTACATTTTCGATTATAAAACGGAATTCTAATATTTTGGAAAATTAGGACAAGCAAATAGCCTTTAAACTAGAGAACGCGTTGTTTATGTAATTAGATTATTAACAAAATCATAAATGTTGTGCTTTTTATTGCCTACTTACATTAAAATACTCGGTTAATAACTGGTCAGTGTACTGATATCTAAATGAAAATTACAAAAATCATAATCTTATTATTTTTATTGTCTACTCTATCGTTAGTTGAACATTTTAGGCTCTAGGAACATAAATTACGGTATTATGTATAAAAACTTATTCCATGGGAACTCAAATGCAATTGCGAATACGAGTTGACGTGAAATCTGATATCCGTCACACAAATATAAATGATGTGTAATGATTCAAAATGAATTTTCCTATATCTGTCGCCGTACGGTCGTGCACTTGCACCCAGAGAGAAAGCCAAATATGATAACGCTCTGTTCGCCGTGTATTATTGTATTATGTTATTATGTTCAGTGATCATTTTAAATGTAGTATGTGATGATTCACACAGAACGCAGTGCGGCGTCGGGCCGTGTTGAAACGACCGGTGGAATAGGTCTGAGGAATTTGCGTTATGAATCGAGAGGAAAACGATTGCGTTGGCGTGAGAGAAGAGAGATGAGTCGGGCGCTGGTGGGATGTACACACTCGTGTACTTGTACGATACAACACGTGTAGGTAATCTGCATATATCCGTTGTAGCTATTTTATTTTTTGTAGAATTTCAGGTTAAAAGTGAAAACAATGTTCGCAGTGTTGTTGTAATGTACGGCTGCGAATATATGCGTCAGGCTGAACGAAAAAAAAAAAGAAGAAGAACCTTTAATGCAGACTGGTTTATCTTTTATTTCCAAATCAACATAGTTGGTAACTAATGCAATGTGCTCGACGTCATCAATTGTACGCCGAAGAACGTTATTTGAGTTGTGTTAAAACGGTCGCGCGCTGTTGGATAAGATACAGGAAGTGCTCGGGTCAGAACAATATATTATGTACAAATTGTTATTCGGCTTTCGGTTGACCCAGTGTGCGATTTCTGACTAATGTTCTTTGACAAATTAATTATAATAGAGTCATCACTGCTGCGGAACGCGTACAACTGACGCCCGAAGTCATTATCGAATTAATCGCCTCTC